AATGACATATATGGACAAGAACACTTTTCTATGAAATGAGTTAGCCAAAACGCCTCAATTGATATGAATTTTTAATATACCTTTGATGATAGTCAAAAATTACGTCAGACAATAAAGCAATCGTGAGATTTAGATAAAGATTTAGACTGTTAGATGGATTATTTGAAATACATGTGTATTAGTCATATTTTATCATTTATATTCCTATTTAAAAACAGCATAGTCTTCCATATGGCAAAGTATTCTTTGAATTACAAGAAACCCCTCTGAGGTCTCTGACACCCATAGATTTAAAAAAAAGAATATCTGATGTACCGATAGTAAAAAAAATAAATAAATTAAAAGTTTAATGCGAATGAAATGTAAAACATGTACATGACCTACTACCCCATTTAACTCTGAAGCAATAGTTTAAGGCGAGCCATCACATATATTCCAGTAGTCAGCATATCTGTATTGACATGAACTATCATTGATATGGGCGTAATTAAAAATTGCCTGTTTACAACACTTACATTTTTAGAATTATAAGGAATGTTTACCCCAGGAATAGATTACTGTGCTGTATTTGGCAAAACTTTTCGGAATTTTTAGTTCTCAATGCTGTCAAACTTCGTTCTTTAATTGTCCCTTTATTACCTTTTTGATTCGACCGTCACTGACCAGTGTTTTGTAAAAGCGTATCTGGCGTACAAAAGTTTAATCCTGGTAGTTATCATTAGTTTGTATATGATGCAGGAGAAGATAACAGATGTTCAAATCCATGTTCAATAAACAAATCAAGATAGCAATGTGGGAAACACATGATAGTCAAACTAAACGGCAATCGTTTCGTCGACTCGGTAAGTGTCTCTTGTGAAGCTTGCAACACCAGCCATGCAAATTAACACCAACTCACCAAGTCAATATGTTGCTAAAGGGATTAGGATACAATCTGTGAATAACATTCTGGTATCAAAAATCTAAAAACGCAAAAAAATATATCTTCTGAATGGAACAAAGGCACATAATATTATTCACCACTTTTGTGAATTCAATTTTTTTTAAACTGCATAACTTTATGCTAAAAGAATGCAACTCTACTACAATTGTGATAATGACGTTTTGATTTTTTGTAAAGCTGCACATCTTAAAAGTTTCCTCAATATGGACGCAGACGGACTTTTTCAAACTATAGAATTTAATCAAACGTGATGACATTAATTCTCCAATTGTCATCTTGAGGTTCCCATTTCTAAGCAGTTACATATATTCTGCGCCGTTGTATGGCGTTATGTATATATATTTGTATATGTAACTCTCATGCATTTTCCCACTATTCGTACTTCGTAAGTAGGGATGTACTCCTTAAACAAAATCTTCCCAAAAAGAGTTAGGCAAAAACTGTGTTAACAGATTTTTGGAGAAGAACGACATAAATGGAAACTACATAAGTTTTACGATAACTATCAACAATTGTTTGATTGAATAGATGTTTTCGGTGACTAGTGACAGTTTTCAAGGTCTTAGATCTGTGAATACATATACTAGTAAAGTCGTCTGATTTGTACCAATTGTGTTATTTCGACTGATTGTATATTCACACTGCCGGTAATACATACATGGCAGGAGACGCTAAGTCTGTTAACGAATCAAGTCTGATTTATGCGATTCCCTCAATTTTTGTTTGTTACCTTGACTTGTGTCTTCTTAATCGATTAACGCAATATTAAACATATTAAACAGATAGAGACGCATACCCTGTCGACGCACCCAGTCTTGTTTTTATTTTGAGTTATAAGAATTACTATTTTTTTGTTGTTGAATTTATTGGTCTATTCTTCATGCTTCTGCTTCATACCTTGATCTTTTCCTCAATATTGACACAAATGGACGACTTCACACTAAAATCTATGACAAACGGGATGATTCCAACTTCCCAATCATCAATTTCCCATTTCTCAGCAGTAACACACCTTCTGCTCCGTCGTATGGTGTTTACATATCTCAGTTGATACGTTATGCCCGTGTATGTTCACACTATACTAACTTCATATGCAGGAGTGTGCTCCTTACGCAGAAACTGCTCCAACATAGTTATGAGGAGGAAAGATTAAAAATGACACTCCGGTCTTTGTTGATTTGTAACTCGTAGAAATACAGAAACAGGTCCGCAATAAGTGGTGCACACTTAGTCCCCATTGGAATTCCGATAACTTGACGATATACGGAATCTCCGTAGCGACAAAAATGTTATCTAGTAAAGAATCAAGGCAGTTAAAGTATCAAAGCAGGTCCAATTCACATAGTTCTTTTGTTTGTTGTTACAAAAAAATTACCTAAAACAGTTTGAACATATATATTCGCATTCTGACTTTTTAAATGCCCATTTAATTAGATGTGTGATTTTTTTCTTAATAAGATTATGAGGCAAACTGGTATATAGGCTAGAAAAATCAAAACTTTGAACAGATTCAAAATCACCTATATAAGCATGCAATTTATCAAGTACTTCCAAAGAATGTTTGACAATTCAAAAGTAATTTATCCCACTATTTTCAAAGGCCTTATTTGAACAATTTATTACCAGGTTTTGTATTGTACTAAGTGTACTTGTAAGTAAAATAGACAGTTAAGTAGTGAAACAATGTCTTGAAGACGAAATAAATCTGTATTTGTAAGGTGTTTTGTGCAGCTTCAGAAGCCAGTACATAGTTGGAACTTTCATTGTATTTGGTTCTGCTTGTAAAGAGGTAGCTAAAAGTTTATGTTCAAAGATGTCATTTTCCGAATATGGGGTCAGTTGGAATGTAGGTGAATTCCTGCTTTCCTTTTGAAGAACCTCAATGTAAAATTTACGTCAAACAATAATGATATTATTAGCAGCCTTATCAGCCGGGACAAAAAAAAATGCCTTGGCAAGTTCTTTTAGCTTATGTTTGATTCTTTAGTTAGACCTTTCTCAATTGTTTAAAACAATTGTGTGCCCGTCAATTTATTCGTTCACGTATAAAATGTTTTGAGACATACACAATATTGGTGTTGTACTATCCCATTTGATGAGGACAAACTATATTGATTTTGTTAAAAAAAATTACAGCAGGTTATAAAACAATGGACAAACGTTTGTTATTCCTGATGTAATTTTTTGAATTGTTTATAAACCTTTTACCAGTCTTTTGTAACAATTCCTAATTGTATGAAGAAGGCCTATTGACTTTTACGAAGGTGAACGTCATTCCTAGATAGCCTGAAATGTGTTATCGGGTTATATATTTGGCACAATATTTCCAACTTTCCCAAAACGATTGAGGAGTTAATTATTATCCCCTTCATCTGGAATCTTAAACATTTGAAAACCAGGGGCCTGTTTATCGAAGCTCTCTTAGGATTAGGACGTGTCCTAAGACCAACTTAGGACACATCTTAGTCCTAAGTGGGTTAATCAAACATGTCGCAAGTTAGGAAAGTCCTAGGAATTGTCCTAACTTTAGGATACCAATTTAGGTGTCTTATGATGGTCTTAGGATGGTCCTAACTTTAGGATATATTTAGGACGGTCAATTTATAAACAAACATGGCCGCCGCATATATACGTTTAAGAAGAAGAGCAAATAATATTCGTAGGAATCGACTTCTTAAGGACTATGATAATCCGCTGGACTATCTTGATGACATTGACATTATACGCAAGTATAGATTATCACGTCAATTGATACTAAACCTATGTAGAATGTTTGAAAATGATTTGAAACGGCCTACAATGAGATCATGAGCATTTTCAGTATCATTGCAGATTATGGTGGCTTTGCGATTTTATGCAACTGGAAGCTTTCAACTCGTGAATGCAGATGTTCACAATATATTAAAGTCAAGCGTCTGAAACATTACCCGGGATGTAACCCAGTGTTTAGTAAGAGTTTGCCAACAGTATGTCGTAATGCCTACAGACCCAGAAGAGTTGCAAAGTGTTATGCAAGGGTTCTATAATGTAGCGAATTTCCCTAATGTTGTAGGAGCAATAGACGACACACATATTAGAATTAGAGCGCCGTCGGTAGATGAACATATTTATGTGAACAGGAAGAATCATCACTCCGTTAACGTTCAAGGTGTATGTGATTCGGATATGAAGTTCATGAATATAGTTGCCAAGTGGCCAGGTGCAACTCATGATGCGTTCATCTGGGCTAACTCTAACATTAGTGAAATGTTCGAAAACCGAACAATAGGACACGGGTGGCTGTTAGGTGACAGTGGATATCCACTGAGGCCTTGGCTTCTCACACCTGTTCTTAATCCAGGGACAAGACAACAACAAGGATACAACGAAGCACATATGCAGACAAGAAGCATTGTGGAGAGAAGCTTTGGTTTGCTCAAATCGCGTTTCCGGTGCATAAACACAAGTTGTGGCACACTATTGTATACAACTAAGAGATGTTGTGACCTTGTCATCGCTGTTGTTGTATTGCACAACATTTGTATAATACATAGACTTCCATTACCTGCAGGCAATTGTAAAGACCATGGACGTCTTGGGAGACAACACTACAATGGTAATTTGAACAACGGAGCTGCTGTGCAGAGACTGATTAATGGCAGATTTTGATGCAAAATAAAAAAACATTTCTAAAAACTAGTTTCCATTTCTCATTGTAAAAAAGGGGGATGTTGTAAGCATTCCCATATTCATGTGCATGTTCCAAGTCAGAAAACTTGTAATTAAGTGCATATACATTTTGTCTTTTTATTTTGGTCTTTCCAATTCAGTATTGTGTAGAGATATTTTCTGCAAACACATTTGATGTCAAGAAAAAGTGGTTAAACAGAACATGAATATAATATTTATTCATATATCTGTATTTGTGCTTTTTTGTTTACTAGATACATGTGTGAAATTGAAACGTTGGTTTACAAAAGGGATTTACCAGAAGATAAAATGAAATAACTAACTAAATACATAAGTATGACATTAGCGTGATGTATTTATATGCAAAACATTTTTACAACACAAAGTTTTAGCTTGATAGATTGTCTTTTTCTACACTGGTTGATGGTGTATCTGCTACATGTACACCCATTTGTGTCATGCTAATGTTGAGCTTTGCCATATATAGTTGATGCTTTTGTTGTTCAGTCACTAGCCTTTGTTGGTCGATTTCTAGTCTAAGCTGTTCTATGTGTAGTCGCTGTTTTTCAACATGGAGACGTTCCTTTTCAACCTTCAACCTTTCACTTTCTATTTCTATCAACTTACAGTCCTCTGGTGATGGTTCACTATATTTCCCATTTGAAGATTTGGCAGATGAAGCACCAGAAGAAAACGAATTGCCACAAAATTTTTCTTTTGTACACCTTGCTTCACTAAGTGAACAGTAGGACATGTCTGAAAATAATCAACAAAACGTCAAAATAAATGAATAATACCATGCATAGTTCCTATATTTGTAAGGTCGACATGCAGAGGTCACTGTTAAAAAAAAAGGGTGGGGAGGGGGGGGGGGGGGTGGTTGTCAAGATCAATCGGTGTATTTGCTTAACCGAAACACTGAAAAAAACATACATTTGTCATATACAACAACCAAAATAAAACAAGAACAAGGTAAATAGGAACTTGCAGTCTCTTTAAAACATGTAATAAGAACTAATTTAAACGAACACCTACATATGATTGATAGATTGATGAATGTTTAATTATTGATTGACTGCTGTTTTTTTACGTCCAGTGGCAAATATTTCATGAACGATCAGGACGACTGGTAAAAAGAATAGTGAAATGTTTGTTATTGAATTGTTATACAGAAGCGAGTATGAAATTTAGGATTTTATATGTGTCTTCATGCAATAAACAGACATAATATGTAATATATACTACACAAAAGTATGTATGTTTTATTTACTTTCATAACTTATTCACTGGTAAAAAATAAGCTTACCATTTTCATTTGAAGAGTTAGAATCTCTTGTCTGGGTAGGTTCTTCGACGGAGGCTCCGTCCATTTCCATGCCAGGACATGTGTCAATACCTCATTCTATTCCGTCTATGGGGGTGTTGTCTATAATTCCTACAACTTTATCTTGCAAGGGAGTCAGCTCTTCAGGAGGCGGTCCATCGCCAGTTTTCCTGGATTCTCTGCGTATTCGGGCAGCCTGCATTTTAGCATTACTCGTGTACGTGCTCCATTTCTTTCTAATTTCATCTACGGTTCTCTTGTGGTCGGTGTTGGTTGCATTTACTTTACTGCAGATGGAATCCCAAGCCTTCTTCTTAGCACCATTAGTTGAAACATTCGAAAGCTTACTATAAAGCAAAGTCTTATTCTTTTCAACTTCGTCCAGGAGAGTCTGTAGTTCAGCATCTGTAAAGTTCGGATTTCGTCTCTTGCTCATTTTCACACGTATTTTTTTTAACAGTTATAAAAAAGTTGAAGTACTGCGTATTTATATGAAAGATGCACGAGATTTGCCTTTGAACTTTTAAAAGTATGAAACCGTGACACTTCGAATTCAACTAACTCAAAACATATGATTTTTACCGATAATATATGCAGTTAAAAATTAGTTTGTTAAACTTTTATATAAAACGTAGTTATTATTTTTGTCTATTGTTTTGTTTTATACAGTTAAAATGTACAATTATTATATAAAAAATATTTATTACCTTAAATTTAAAACTAATATTTAGTTTCTAATTAACCATATTTAAAAAAAAATTATAATTATTGGTTGAATCTGATATCATATTTTATTTTTAAAATTTTTAATTTGTTATTTTCTTTTACGCCAATACTTAGGACATCGGTTAGGACGTCCTAGCTAAGATAATCCTGAGATAGCTTCGATGTGCATGCTGAGATGTATCGTAAGTCGTTGCTAACTTTATCCTAACTTCTGCCCTAAGAAATTCTTAGGACGAATATTAGGACAGTTTCGATAAACAGGCCCCTGGGTTGTGTGAATACGTGAAACGATCGGAAATTATATAACGAAACACTGCCTAAACAGAATAGCCAGATTCATCTAAAGTCAACTTTCCCTTGGAATCTTAGTTTATTAATAATTTCCTTATTGATGAACGGAGAATTTAAGTAAGTATATGTTATAAATCCTGTCAATAACGAAGCACTGCCTACTGAGATGATTATACCCATGGTGTGGCAAGAGTCGCCCAGCAGCGGCATCGATCCAGTGTAAGTATACAGTTTTCTTTTCAGATGAAGGTATTTTCAAGGAGAGGAACAATTAGAAGATGTAATATGCAATAGTTTTTATTTCAGCAGCTGGTCAACGAAAGTAACGATGATTTGGGAATTGAAAAAACACTCTACTATTGAATACAGGACTGAAATATACTTTGAGGTAAATGATGATGAAAATAGTGACTCTATTTCTAAGATGAGGATAAAGTATTGAAATATCTGTAAAGGCATAAAAAATGTACTTAGACCACCTTCGTTTTCTCGTTTTTATCAGAAAGATCTAGACACAATTTGTTTTATGCAAACAACGAAATATCAAATGCAAAAAATAAAGGTTTTGCCTTTAATCATCAATGATATGGATAAGAGCACACACTTTGTAATTACTAGACCAAATGGATAATTGTGTTTAGCTTGGTACCATGTATTCAATTTCATTATACACACGTATATGGAAATGCCTTGTCTTGGATCGTTTCAGTGTTTTGACGTGCAAACATTAAACTCAAGGTTTGAAAGTGATTGTCTTTTTTCATTCTGCACTAGAGCTTTCTCTTAACGAAAGAATAAGATGGATTATGAAAATATACTACTTTAGTCTTCATCGAAGTTACTTTTGATTTGATTTTAAAATTTAGATATCGACCAATGGAATATCTACGATATATCGCTGTGAATACTTTTAAGTGTCATTTTTAAGTGGTTAGAAACCATGTGACGACTTTTTTTTTATCCCTAATTGAACGGAATGATATGTCTCCGACTGATTATTTTAAATATCTAATATTCCAGGATCAAATAATATGTCTCCATGAATTAAGGAACAACGCTTACCTCCTTTTCTGATAACATTAACACAATTATTCTATCTTTGATATCCCATGGTTGAATATTCCTATTTATTTTACAAAGGTCAAGAAAAAATTAAAATGTGGCTGCCAGAAAAATGCATACGTTCATTTGTCTACAAATACGTATTTTACATGAAGCAAGAGTAAAACGTTCAATATAAAAGTAGACAGTCAAAATTTACTAATTTACATTCTTATCTAATGAGTTAAAATTACAAGCATTACAAAACACATCTAACGACAGTTTGCTTCAAAACACTATTTATTTGTACTCGGGGAGGAGCACTTGTGGTCAGTAATAAACCTTATTTACACATTCTTATTAGATATCTACAAGAAAAATACAAAAAACTCAATTCTCATATTGTTCTTTTAATGCATTGAATATTTTCCCTGGACTTTCTCCACCTGAAAAACAGAAATATCAATATAGCTCTGTTTATATATTACCATTGACAGCAGTAAATTTCTTTTCCTTTGCCTTTGGTTTATTGTCTAAGCAAACATATAAAATTTATAGGGACAAGTACGAAAACGCAAGCAACTTTCGATTGATTCAGAACAAAACAATAATGTGAACAAAATACAATAAAACTAAAAATCAATTTTTCAGAGAACAATTGAAAGTCTTTCCACCCCGAAATATTCATATTTTGATAGGAAAATATTTACTTTCGGTTTAAAATGTCAGTTCTGGTGTCAGATTATAGCTGAGTTCATGCTAATTCCAAAAATTATATGATTTCTATATACATTTGATAAAAATATGGTAAATAAGAAGGTACTTCAACTTTACAAAATTTCACTTCCGCTTTCAAGTCTACCTGACCAAAAATTAAAAGTCCTAGTACTTTTAACATGAAAATAATGCAAGAATTGCTACTTTAGGTTTACAAAATGTCACTTCCGGTTGACCTTCATCAGGGTCATATGTCTGCAACTAAATGTAATGGACCCTATGACTTTATCATGAACCAATAAGAAGTTACAGCAAACATGGAAAAAGTCAAAATCTTGAACGTCAAATTAAACTTTGACCTTGACTTCAATTTCAACGTCATCAAGAAAGGACCACAAATCAAAAGACTCTGGTCTTTATAAGATATGGTTAATGAGTTACATGACCATACACATGATTTTGAATATAAGAGGGGAGAAAACTCTAATTAAATGACAACGTATCCTTTCAACAAAAATTGATGTGTAACGACATGCCGAAACTAATAATTTTGTAAAATATATTGTCGATATCTTATATGGTTTTCGAAAAAAGGTGAAAATAAGCAAAAATAAAACTCTTAAACATGACCTTGACCTGACCTAATAATCTTTTTGGTGGACCAAAGACCTTAAATAAAAAGACCCTAGGTCTCTGTCACTTTTAGTTTACCATTTAGAAATGCATATCACTTATATCAAATGCATAAGAGAAAATAACTCTCATATGGAGTTTCCAGATCTTTTCGATCAAATCTTTTTTCATATCCGTAGGATCTAACGAGCAATTCGGTAAAAAAATGGTTATTTTTTTTACGGTTGCTAAGAAGTAGTCCGCACAAGAAAATCAGTGTTCGGAGAGATAACTCTTACAAAATAAAGTGTTCGGTTAAGCAGTGTCAGTTTTAAATGCCTTTAAGCTGTTCGATATCAAATTCCAAATTTCTAAGCGACATTTTTCGAAACAACAATGCTGCACAAGAAAAAATTAGGCTGAAACAAAAAAATAGATTGTTCAGAGAATAATCGAAGGGTTTTCTAACCGAAACGAGATATTTTGTTATGAAAATATTAAAATTCGGTTTAAAATGTCATTTCTAGTGACAAATGATACCAAAATATATGATTTCTATACATTTTTGTTTAAAATAACGGATAACTTTCATGGAAAAATGTCACTTCCGGTATTATTTGATAGTTTACTTGACACTGATTCCAAAAATATATGGTTCTATATACTTTTACATTGAATTGGCACAACAAATAGCTCCTTCCGGTTAACACACGTACATTTCCAGTTTGTATACATATCATGTATACAAGTTAAATCAAAGGTCAAAATCTAAAACATCAAATTTACCTTTGACCTTGACTGGAATTTAAAGATCATAAACCAAGGACCTCAAATCAAAAGACGGTAGGTCAGTATAATATATGGTTATTGAGATATATCACCATACGCATAATTTTAAATATAAGAAGGGAGAAAATTCCTATTTAATGTCAACGTACCACTTCAACCAAAATCTATGTATTACGACATGTCGCAACTAACATTTTAGTAAAATATGTTGTCGATATCTTATACAGTTTTTGAAAACAAGTAATAATAAGCCAAAATCAAAATTTAAAGCATGACCTTGACCTTTGACCTTGACCTAATTTTCTATTTTTTGGACCAATGAACTCAAATGAAAAGAACCTATGTCTCTATCACTTATGGTTTACCAGTTACAAATGCAAATCACTTATACTAAATGCATAAGGGGAAATAACTCTCATATGGAGTCCCCAAATAGCTTCGGACCAAATAATACTCAAAATTCTGAAGATATAACGAGCAATTTGGTGAAAAAAATAAATTCCGTTTCTTTTACGATTGCGAAGGAACTGTGGCCACAAGAAAAACAGTGTTTCGGGCGATAACTCTTTCAAGAAAAGTGTACGGTTAAACAGGGTCAGTTTCAAAAGCGAAGAAACTGTTCGATATCATATACCAAATATCTTAGCGACATCTTGTGAAACATAATACTGCGCAAGAAAAAAACATAATATGCGGAAGAAATAAAAAATTAAAAATTAAAAACCTATTGTTCAGATAACAATTGAAGGTTTTTCCAACCAAAACGATATATTTTAATATGAAAATAATAAAAACAGGTTTAAAATGTCATTTCCAGTGTCAATTGATAGCTTATTGTACGCCGATTGCAAACATATATAGTTTCTACACACTTTTGTTTGAAATAAGAGAGATAATTTGTAACTTCCGGTTTAAAAATGTTACTTCTGGTATTATTTGATTATTTACTTGACACTGATTCAAAAAATATATGGTTCTATAAACTATACGTTAAATAAGTACATAAAAAACTACTTCCGGTATACACAAGGTGACTTCCAGTAGGATTTTTTAAGATCATATGGCTTGCAATCTAATGCAAAAAAGTCCCATGGCTTTATCAGGTATACATATGAAGTTAAAGCAAAGGTCAAAATCTAAAACGTCAAATTTAACTATGACCTTGACCTCAATTTCAAGTTCTTAAACCAAGGACCTCAAATAAAAAGATCATAGATCTAAATTAAATATGGTTAATGAGTCAAATCATCATACACGTAA